CAACAAATATTCAAAAGAAAAAATTGCAAATCAGCAAGAATACTAAGGTTGCATTATTCTGTTTGTGGTGGAAAACAACAATGTCCTTACATGATTATCATACTCATAAAGGTTGTGATATATCTTCAGACATCAGCACAGCAAAAGTAAGCAAAAATACATTCTTTGGTGGGGGGAACAAAACCAGTCAGGTGATCCTGTTAGTTTTTTTTTAACTCAGGGTGCAAAGTGTCCCCCCTGCCACCCCACTTACTGTGGCATGTGAAGTATTGACACTTAATCATTGGACGCAAGGCCAAGTGTCAGTTTTTGTTTCTACAGCAGATATGATGTGTTGGTGTGTGTGTGTAGTCAGGATATGTTGTTTTGGATACCATGTACACTTGCCCTGAAATTCTTTCCTACCGATCATGGGCAGCAGAAAGAAAACTGGATAAAGAGATTCTAAAATAAATTAAAATATAAGATTCTTTTCCTTTATGCATTCAAAAATCGTCTGTTAAAATGTTCTCTATGCTAGTCATACGGACAGGACTTGGCATTTAATTTTGGGACCATTTATAGAAGTGAGGGCAGAATTAAGGGCACTTACTGTTACCAGGTCCAAGCTCGGACTGTTCACCGCAAGACAGGACAATAAGTCGAGAGACGAGTTGTTGGGGCAAGGAACAGTGACTTTATTCAGAAAGCCAGCAGACTGAGAAGATGGTGGACTCATGTCCCAAAGAACCATCTTGCTAGGGTTTGGATGCTAGTTTCTTCTATAGAACAAAGAGGGGAAGATGAGGAGATAAAGTAAAAAAGGCAATAAATTGTTGCAAATATTTCCTGGTTCCAGCCAGGTTCCCAGGAAGGTGTTAATTTCTTCTTTCCTGCAGTCATTCATGGGTGGGCCTGGTCAGGATGTTTCCTGTGAGCTAAACAAAGGTATTTTAGCTTAAGCTCAGGCATGGGAGGCAGGGTTCCCAGAGATGGGCCATTATGTATACTTTAGGCATATAGGCAACTCTTTAGTGATTGACTTGTAGCAAAAACAATAGAAAAAAAAGGTTAAATGAAAAGAAAAAGGTCCAATATGGACTTAGATTTATTTTTCCTTGTTACACTGTAAGGGACGGTGAGGCACTCAGGGCTAGCAATGGTAGGAAACTGTTTGTATCCTTGGGCCTGAAGTGACAAGGTGAGAGAACACTGTTACTGGAGCCCAGCAAAAACTGGAGCCATGGAAGATGGGCCATGCAACAAGAGCTGTGGTCATAGAACCATCATGGTAGAGGGAGAAGGGGGTAGTGGTGTGTGTATGGGGAGAGGGATAAATACCCTACATACCTTTGTGCTACTCTTTATTTTCTTTCAAGTACCTTCATTGGCCACATCCAACCAGAAGCCACAGGGTGAGTGAGCTCAGATGATTCAGCCCTTAGTGACCAGCCTCCCAGGCAGCAGAGCAGGGTGGAGAGTGGATCTGGGGGGTAGACCTAGATTAACCAACAAAACCTTCCCTTTGCATATCACTAAGAGGAAGAGCAGTCTCCAAAAGTGATGGAAACCTAGTGTCCAGAGAGGTGGGAAAAAAAGTTTGGGTAGAATAGCATCACAGAGTCCTTGGGTGAGGAATTTCAAGGAAAAGGGAGCCTCCAGTGCAACAGAGATCAAGTCAAAATGTAGCCACTGGATTCACCAATTTGAAAGTCATTGGTGACCTTCATTAGAGTGGTCTCTGGGTGTAAGACCGGAACCAGACTGTGCTAAAGAAAGAATAGGAAATGGTTGAAATGCAAAGGAGACAGGGAGCCTTTAGAGGATGATATAAGATGAAGGGAAGTTGCTTTTTGCCATGAGAGGTAAAGTTGCTGTAGAGGTGGAGCAGAGGCAGATACTGGAGACAGACTGAATGATTGTGAAGCAAGATCACAGAGGAAGCAGGAGGGACTGAGACCACTAGCTTTGCAGAAGAGAGGGGACACTTCTAGAGTGGCATATGGGGATTTGCTATTGGGCATTTGGAGAGAGAATGTTGTGGGTCTAGAGCTGGTGAGCATGATGATGAGTTGCCTCCAGGAAACTTCTGTTCTTTTTTCCAGTGAAGTTGGAGGCTGGGTCATTACTGTTGGTGAGAGAGGAGGTAGCAGGAGGTAGCAAAGAGACCAGGGAAATTTGCCCCGGTCCTGGGACCCGAAGGAGCAGCTGACTGAGAGCCTTGGGGACAGCACTGGGGTTGATAATACCTCTCTATCCCTACCGTGGCACCAGTCAGCAGAATTTTGTGATCTTCTTTAGTCGTGTTCAGCCTGGAACGAGGATGCTGTATATTACAGAAGGTAACAGGGTTGGCAAAAGATCAAAAGGAGTCAAAGACAGTGACAGTATTGGTAAAAGACTGATGGAAGAGATGGACCATAGATCTTGGTTGGATGGCGCACGGAGGAAAGCCCAAAGGAGGCTTATTTGGGGGAACTGGAGGCATCAAAGGTGGTCTTGAAAAGGTGGAAGAAGAATAGTATTAATGATGATTGCTAACATTTATGGAGAGTTTCCTAGGGGCCAGACACATTTACTCCTCACAGCAACCCTACCTGCTGTGTCCTGTATCGTCTTCACAGATGAAGAAATTGAAGCAGAAAGCTTCAGCAAGTTGTTCAAGGTCATACTGTTGGTCAATGACAACCAGACAAGGGATTGAGGGCGTAGAGATTTGTGGTCTAGGAATAGTATACTGTGGGTTAACATTTCATTGCTGACTTGAACAGATATTCATACACCAATTTTCATAGCAGCATTATTCACAATAGCCAAAAGGTGGAAACAATCCAAGCGTCCATGAACAGATGAATGGATAGCAAAATGTGGCATACACACATATGATGGGATATTATTCAGGCATGAAAAGGAACATGGTACGCAGGCCTCTCACTGTTGTGGCCTCTCCCGTTGCAGAGCACAGGCTCTGGACGTGCAGGCTCAGCGGCCATGGCTCACGGGCCCAGCCACTCCGCGGCATGCGGGATCTTCCTGGACCAGGGAACGAACCCGTGTTCCCTGCATCGGCAGGCGGACTCTCAACCACTGTGCCACCAGGGAAGCCCAGTTTTTGGAACGGCATTTTCCTTTTCTCATTCTTAGACTCCTCATCTCTAAAATAGGGATTCAAATGCCCACAAGACCTAAATTCTGGGATAGCTATGATGATCAAAAGATATATTAAGTGGAAATACTTTGTGACTTCCATTTATTATTATTATTATTTTGCCGCGGGGCATGTGGGGTCTTATTTCCCCAACCAAGGATTGAGCCTGCACCCCCTGCAGTGGAAGCACGGGAGTCTTAATCGCTGGACCGGCAGGGAAGTCCCTACTTTGTGACTTTTAGAGGGAGAGGTAGCAGTGTACATCATTATCACTATTCTCAGCGTCAAGTGAACAGTCTGTGCTCTGCTTTGGACTTCTCTCCAGAGGCAGTTCTCAGGTTCTTAGCGTTGCACGTACGGGCAGGGGCAGAGCCAAGAATAAGAGGCAGATCAAACCAGGACCATCGCAATCATGATTCCCATGATGTAAATGCTGAGTTTGTGCCACTTCGAATTATTTCTCTTTCATCCTAAATTATCTTCCAGGGAAAAGTGATAGGGAAAGCACTAGAGTTTTAAAATGTTGTTAGTTTCTCTTTATTTAACTTTATACCTGGAGCTAATCTGTCTCCATCTCAATCTCTGACTCTATTAGTCTGATTCCAAATCCCTCTCCCTTTATCCATTTGTTCTCTTCCCCACTCTCTGTCCCTTTCTTCTCTCGTTCTCGCTCTCTTGCGCACACACACGCACACACGCATACACATTTATCTCCTATTCTCCCTTTCTGCCTACCCCTAGTTGATATGGTCTGAATATCTGTGTTCCTTCCAGATTCACATGTTGAACTACTAATGCCCAGTGTGATGACATTAAAAGACGGGGCCTTTGGGAGGTGCTTAGGTCATGAGGGTAGAGCCCTCACGAATGGTATTAGTGCTCTTGTAAAAGAGACCCCTTAGAGCTCCCTAGCTCCTTCCGCCATGTGAGGATACAATGAGAAGCCTGTGACCTGGAAAAGGGCCTTTACCCAACCATGCTGGTACCCTAATCTTAGACTCCTAGCATCCAAAATTGTGAGAAATAAATTTCTGTTGTTTATAAAGCCACCCAGTCTGTGGTATTGTGTCACAGCAGCCCAAATGGACTAATACTAGTGTATGTATTGTGCTAAGTATGCATAATATGGAAACATTGCTTTGTTCACTAAGCCCCTTGGTGCAGAAAAGAGGCAGTGTCGGTTCAAATCTGGATTCAGGTAAAACAGAGCTAATTCTGTGAAGACAAACACTGACTGGATACATTGAGGAGGTGAAAGGACTCATTCACACGGTTCCGGGCAGTCTTAGAACGATAATCATTCTGATACTGATCATTTGTCTCAAGGCAATGGTGGCAGAACACAGATGCTTTACTCTCTTTTTGTAAGGTAGAGGAAGCTCACTCATTCTTCTACCTGTTGATCACTGAGGGATTTATTTATTCAGCAACATCGAAAGAGACAGTAAGCAATGATTTATTGAACTCTACTGTGTACTATGTTCCCACTTGTGGTAGGTGGAACAGGAAATGGAAAGGTAAGTAAGAGGCAGCTCCTGCCTGGAAGGAAGTTAAAAGCCCAGCAGTATGTGAGAACCTACACCACGATTACACCAAGGGCCAAGTGATGCAATGCTATGAGCCACCAAAGGAGGGTCAGCAAAGGGAATCCAGGTTAGTTTGATGGGGAAGGTGGCACATGCGCGGCACCACGCCAGATCTTCGGGTCTGCAGGTACGCGGAGGGGCAGGAAGGGCATTTCTGGAGGAGAGAACTGTGGGGGCACAAAAACAAGGGAATCTACGTAGGGAAACAACCTCTGTTTCCCTACCTGGAAAAGCATAACACGTGTGCCATGACATTTTTCTTTTATTTTTTCTGACGTGTATCACAGGCCTACAGGGCAGAAACCATGACCAGAAGTCATATTACATGAAGCTGAACTGTCATCTTACTCTTTTGAAAGACGAGGACCCAAAAGCATCTTCTTTGGTTCACTTACAGAGGCTTGCTGCTCCTCCTATGTTCTACTGCAGTATTCTACTAGGTCAGTGTTATTATCTGTAGGACACCAATCCTGTTGGATAATAGGTGTTTGGAGGAAATGAACATTATACGGTCAAACAAATGTGAAGAATACTGTGCTGATTAAAATAAAGCTAGTGGTTTACTGAAGGTTTATTCAGTGCCTGTACTGTGCAAACGTGCAGTCATGACACTCCAAGATGAGGGATGCATGTTGCATGTTTCCTAAATTGTCACCACCAAACTCTTTTATTCCTTGGAATCTCTTAGGAAATATTTTATCTTGTTGAATCTACTTTGGAAAATGCTGCCGTGGCTAAGGCTGACTGGATAAAAAGAGGACGATTTCACTAGTGATTGAAATATTCCAGGCACTTTTCAATTCCCCACGCTCTTTGAGAAAACAGTGCAGTTATGAGTTAGCAGGCTTCTTTTCCAGTGATTGAATAAGGGAATTAATGATTGCCATATACCAACCCATTTATCATCATAATAACCCATGAAATGCGTGTCGTTATTATCTCTGCTTACATATAAGGAAACTGAGACACAGGGAGGCTAAGTAACTTGTTCAAGGTCACACAGCCAGTAAACATAAAACTGAGATTTGACCTGGGCAGCGTGGTCACCAAAGCCTGGGCACAAAACCACTCTCCCGACATGCTATGACTGTCCAATAAGAGCTTGGGAAAATCGCTTCATTTTTCTGACAATTCAGTTGCATAATAAAATGGGGACAATACTATCTACTCTGTCTCCCCGAGTTATTGTGAGATCTCCAAGGAAAAAAAAAAACCCAAACTGTAAAAGGATAATAAAAGAGGCAGCATGGTTATTCAAACATCGACATGGAGAAATACACTAGATGGCTCATTTTTTTAAACACCAAAAGTTTAAAGACATGAGTGTTCAATTCCTTTCACCTAAGGTTTCCCTATGTTTATCCTGTTACTCTTGATAGGTGTTTCACAAGTGTTGTAAGAAACAAGCATGTCTTCTGCAGCTCAGAAGTAACAGCAGGCTTCTCTGCTTGAGGTTTCCTCACTGAGTCTTCCCACTTACCTTACCAGGCTCCTCGGAGAACTATGTGCTTAAGGGCTCCAGGGATTGAGGAGTTTGTATAAACATAAAAACAAATGAATATGGTGCAAATTATTTATATTGTTAAGTCATAGGCATAGGTATGTGGTATAGGGAGATTCGTGTTAGGAAAACATCTGAACAACATGATATAAAACATCTTTATAAACAAAGCACATTATTTTAAAAAAATTTATTTTATTGAAGTATAGTTGACTTACAATGTGGTATTAATTTCTAATGTATAGCAAAGTGATTCAGTTATATATACATATACATCCTTCATATTCTTTTCCATTATGGTTTATTACAGGATATTGAATATAGTTCCCTGTGCTATACAGTAGGACCTTGTTATTTATCCATTCTATATACAATATTTTGCATCTGCTAATTCTGAACTCCCACTTCATCCCTTCCCCACCCACCCCCCTCACTCCTGGCAACCACAAGTCTGTCCTCTGTGTCTTCAAAATACATTGTTTTAAACACACAGTTCAGTGGCACAGGGAGTTGCAATTGCATTTAGTTTTAAGATCCAGGAAGGATCTTCTTTCCTCCTTAGGGAGAGGAGAGGAGAATCCCTAGGGAGTGTGTGTGTGTGTGTGTGAGTGTGTGTGTGTGTGTGTGTGTGTGTAGTCACACACTACATAAGAATAGTAGGCGACTATTCTTTGATTTATCCTCCAAATAATTGCAGTGCACCTACCTCACAGTACCCCTGGAAGGTGAATAATATAATACCTGGTCATTGCTCTCAACAGATATGTAAGCAACGAGGTATAAGACAACCCAGGGTTTGCTCTTTTTTTTTTTTTTTTGCGATACGTGGGCCTCTCACTGCTGTGGCCTCTCCCATTGCGGAGCACAGGCTCCGGACGCGCAGAGCTCAGCGGCCATGGCTCACGGGCCCAGCCACTCCGTGGCATGTGGGATCTTCCTGGACCCGGGCACGAACCCATGTCCCCTGCATCGGCAGGTGGACTCTCAACCACTGTGCCACCAGGGAAGGCCTGCTTTTAAAATAGATCTGAACAAGTACTGTTTGGGGCGGGAGGGCAGAGGGCCAGGGAGACGTGAACTGGAGAAGGCCTCGGTCTTGGAGGAGGAGTAGGGATTTGTCAGACATGAAATGGAAAAAGGACAAATCAGGCAGAGATGGGTGGGAAATCCTGGGCATATTAGATGCAGAGAAGAGGTGGGTGTTTGAGGAAGCTGAAGGTGGGGCTGTGTGTGTTAGGGAGTGACAGTACCTTGGGCTGGGGCCAGACTGCACAAGGGCTTGAATGCCATTCTAAGAAGAGTCTGGACTCCCTAATCTTGTAATAAGGAGCCACTGATGAAATTTAATCAGGAGAAAGACATAATGGAGCCATATGACAAGAAGCTTCATTTAATTAATTTAGTAAACCCTAACTGAGTGCCTACAATGACGTTTTGGGGCCGAGGCTGGGGTCTGGGTTCACATTAGTGAAAAGGAGAGACAAGGCTGCTGACCTCGCAGAGCTCATAGAAGGTACAGGAACTAGACCAGGTTACACAGTGTGGTAGGGCTATCTTGAAGTCCAGGCTGTCAGGGAAGCATGTTTGAGAGACACTTAATCCTAGAATGGGTCAGAGTTGTCCAGTTCAGATACAGGGGGGAAGAGAGCTCTAAGGTGAAAGAGCGTAACTGTGGCATGAATTTGGGGTTTGAATTGTGTTCTAGGCAGCTGCTGAGATGGCTCTCGGTCTTCACCCCCTTGTGTAATCTCCTGGCCTTGAGTGTGGGCTGAACCTAGGGCTTCTCTTTTAATCGATACAGTATGGCAAAAGTGATGTCACAGCCGAGACTAGGTTACAAAAACACTTTGGCTTTTCTCTCTCTTTCTCTATCCCTCTCACCTGCTTGGGCTGATGGAATTCAGCTGCCATGTTGTGAGCTGCCCTATGAAGAGACCCACGGGGTGAAGTACAGCCCTTGAAGAACTGAATCCTGCTGGCAACCATGTGATTGACTTTGGAAGCAGATTCTTTCCCAGTCAAGCCATGAGATGAGACGCAGCCTCCAGCCAACACCTTAACTGCAGTCAGGCAGAGGCACCCAGCGAAACTGCACCTGGATTCCTGAATCACAGAAACCAGAGGGTAATGTTGTTTCAAGCTGTTTTAGGGCAATTTGTTATGCGGCGATAGATAACTAATACAAACTGTAAGGGGGTGAAAACTACAAGTCAGGAAGTGTATTCTCCATCCTCCCTGCAGTGGGGAAGAATTGCTGTGGGGAACAGAAATGACCTTCCCCTTCAATTTTCTAGCTCCTTTATCTCTTTCTATTGAACACCGCACCCTGGGGACACTGCCTCCAGGTACAATAGCCAGAAGGTGGTCTCACCTGTTCCTCAGCAGGCCCTGAGGGTCAAGGGGGGGGGGTAAGGCTCAGTGTTTATTTTCCAGTGGGAAAGAAACAGGCTTAGAGGAAAGAGAGAGAGAGAGGGAAGCGGAGCCCCAAACCCCAGGATCCTCTATTTGGTTTGTTTGTAAAGGTGAAATTAAGTGTTGGCTGACTTCTCTATAGCCAAAATGCAAACACTTGATTTAATCTTGTTATATTTGTTTAGTGGGGAAACAGCTACACACTAGACATGGTGGGAAACCAAGCACCCTGGTAGACCAGAAAAATAAAAATACATCAGAGAGGAGGGGGATCCTACTAAGCCTGGAACCTTAAGTCACTGTCCATACGTGGAGACCTTACAGTCCACTTGGGCTCAATGTCAGTCTTCCTCACCAGCCCGTGGCCTCTCCTCACCCAGGTCCCTTGTCCCTCAGTAACTTGACTTTCTTCAGTTTATTTTACACAACTACCTGCTGCAATCCAGACTTCTGCCTGTCAAGGAAGAGAAAATATTAACAGAAAATGAACAAAATAGGGTTCATACCTAATAGGAGTTTTTTAAAAAAGGCTTGAAGTCTGTGACAACTCCCTTCGAATAGAAAGTCATAAGAAGAGAACTCTACTGATGCTTCCCTTCCTGGGTTCCTGGACTCCACGTGCAGTTAAGAGCGCTCTTTATGCTGTTTTCAATGTGTAAAAAGGTTAAGAAAAATCAAATGGTCATTTCTGTTATGGCCACATAGGCTAACCAAAAGGTCATTTTTTTTTTTTCCCCTTCATGGAAACATCCTCTCCTAGGAAACCAAATTTCTTTTTTGTTTCCTAGTTTTATTGAAATATATATTGACATATAACATTGCATTAGTTTAAGGTGTGCAACGTAATGATTTTTTTAAAAATTTTATTCGTGTATAGTTGATTTATAATGTGTTAGTTTCAGGTGTACAGCAAAGTAATTCAGTTATACATATACATATGCCCATTCCTTTTCAGATTGTTTTCCCATATAGGTTACCACTGAATATAGAGTTCCCTGTGCTATACGGTAGGTCCTTGTTGGTTATCTATCTTCTATATAGTAGTGTGTGTATGTTAATCCCAAAATGATCACCACAGTATATCCATCACCTCACATAGTTACAACTTTGTTTTTTTGTGTGTGTGGTTTTTTTGCGGTACGCGGGCCTCTCACTGTTGTGCCCTCTCCCGTTGTGGAGCACAGGTTCCAGACGCGCAGGCTCAGCGGCCATGGCTCACGGGCCCAGCCGCTCCGCGGCATGTGGGATCTTCCCGGACCGGGGCACGAACCCATGTCCCCTGCATCAGCAGGCGGACTCTCAACCACTGCGCCACCAGGGAAGCCCACAACTTTGTTTTTGTTTTGATAAGAACTTTTTTTTTCCAGCATCATAATTTAATTAAGAGAGCATATTCATTGTAGAGAACTGTAGAGAATATATTGATGATTGTAAATGTGACTCCTCATTACAGCCTTAAAATTTTGGAAAGACCAAAGCACAAAGATGTCAATTATATATCCAAACTACAGGTACAAAACAAGTACATGTATTTTCCATGCTCCAAAATTGAGTACACACTGTACTGTCATAGGGAAGGGGGTTACCAATGAAGACCTGACAATAAAGTACTCAAGATTGATATACCAAAATAAAATATAAAATAGAAGTTTATAAAAACAAGTTTGACAAGAGCAGAGAGGACCCTTGATAAGAACTTTTAGGATCTATTCTGTTAGCAACTCCAAATATACAATACAGTATTATTAACTATAGTCACCATACTGTACATTACATCCCCAGGACTTACTTTTTTTATAATTTGAAGTTTGTACCTTTCGACTCCCTTCACCCATTTTGCTCCCCGCCCCCCATCTCTGGCAATCACCTGTTCTCTGTATCTATGAGTTTGAGGAAACCAAATTCTGATTACCTAGTAAATGTATTTTCTAAGGGATGTGGAATCATTCAAAACAAGATATCCACAAATGAAAATAAAGAACGTATGATGTTCTTGATCTTGAAAAGTTCGAGAATCACTAGTTTTGATCAGCCTCCTTACCTCACAGATGAGAGAATAGATTGTGCGATGTCAAGTGACAGCTGTTTTGTGGCAGAAAATGTGTCTAGAACTCAGTCCTCTTGGCTATGTGTCAGCAATCGTTCTGTGGCTCCATAGCTACTGTCCCTCCATGGAAAGCCCGTCTTGTGAAGCACAGATTAAATTTCTTAAATGTTTGGACAAAGGCGAAGAGCAAGAAACAGTGGTGGAAGTTATAGGAAGGAAAATTTTTGTTTCATATAACAAAACACTTTTAAACAACAGTTGGAACTGTTCAACCAGAGAAGATGCTTGAGTGTTTGAAAAAACTGAAAAAATTAAAATGCATTCAGGCAGAGGCTGAATGGCCATCCTTGATCATTTCCTGTGGTCCTTTTCAGACGTCTAATGTAAAGAGTTGTTCACATATCTGTCTCCTCAGAAGACTCTCTTTTCCTGAAGCGCGGAAACTTAGCTATCCCCATTAACAAAAATTTGTTAAGGAAAGGAGGTGGAATACGATTTCTGATTAGCTTACCGTTTCCATTTATGACCACCAGGGGGCGCAGAAGCCTTCTCTTTACCAAAGACTGGAAATTAATTCACCTAGCGAGCGCCTGGGGTAGAAGGAAGTGTGCAGGACTAGAGCGAGGATTAGAGACCATATCTTCATGGGAGGGGATGAAGTCAGCACGGAGCAAGCGCTAGGATTGCAGAACAGGGCAAAGTTCTGTTAGAATTATGAAAATATTTACAGCCCTTTTAAAAAATATTATTTATTTAATTTTGGCTGCGTTGGGTCTTCGTTGCTGCGCGCGGGCTTTCTCGAGTTGCGGTGGATGGGGGCTACTCTTCGTTGTGGTGCACGGGCTTCTCATTGCGGTGGCTGCTTCCCTCGTTGTGGTCTTAAGTAATTGTCGCGCGAGGGCTCTAGAGCGCAGGCTCAGTAGTTGTGGCGCACGGGCTTAGCTGCTCCGTGGCATGTGGGATCTTCCCGGACCAGGGCTCGAACCCGTATCCCCTGCCCTGGCAGGCGGATTCTTAACCACTGCACCACCAGGGAAGTCCTACAGCCCTTTAATCTGGATGCATAGCTCAGATTCTTTCCCTGATTTGAGGATTGAATCTTAGGCCTGTCAGTCCTATTTATTGAGCTCCACTCCATATCTGCTGGATATGTCATCTGTTCCCAAGAAGGAAGATAAACTGGGAAGAGGGAAGAGAGGGTGGAGGTGTGGGGCCGGGGAGGGGAGAAAGACGGAGGGGCAGTGCGAAGAAACCGCCCACTTTTCAGAAAGTGGGATCAGGTACTACTCACCTAGGGGATCAGGTAGGAAAGTTTAAGCTTTCCAATACGCACATCCTCCTCTTACAGCTCTGCTCCACAGGTGACGAATCAGTCATTCCTCCTCTGTCAACAAGGCCCCACAGCAAACTGGGAAGTGGGTAATATCTCTGATTTATAGATACAGAAACGGAGTCCCCTAGAGAAACAATAACTTGCCAAAGGTATACACTTTGTTAGTGGCAGGTGTTCTGATTTCATCATTGAACTGCTTGCATTTCTCTTAAGGATCCCCACTGCCAACATCATAAAATCCAAATTCTTCGTCGCAGCCTTCCCCACCCCGCCTCACCTCCAGTTATTTCCACGAGGAACACACTCTTTCAGCTCCAGCACGCAGTCCCCCGGACCGTGAGCATTCCTTTAACTTGGAATGCCCTTCCTCCAGGCAGAATTAATTGCTCTCTCTCTCCCACCTGTTATGGCACGAATCACGTTGTCTTAGAGTTCCTCGTGTATGGGATGTTGGCGCCGCCTAGCAATGAATCAGTCTGTTGAGGGCTGGATCCTAGCACAGAGCCCGGCACAGGTAGTGAATGGCTGTTGAATGGAAAGGCTGGAATTGAGGTCAGACAGACCCACTCGCGGCGGGATCTCCCATTGCTGCTCCATCGGGGGACCCAGAGCTACGGGAGGTGGAGTGAGAGGCGTGGAGGGTGGCCGGGCGGCGGCAGGGCACTGGCCCTTTAAGGAGGAGCGCGGGGCGCGGCCCAGGTAAGGGGCGGGTCCGCCGGGCGGATCAGCGCTGCGCGCCGGCGCCGGCCGTGGAGCCGGATTTGGAGTACGCGGCGCCGGCTGGGCCGGAGAGGCGGCGCGGCGGAACCTCCAGTGGCCTCGGACGCTCCCTCTCGCCCGCGGCCGCCGCCCGCCTCCGCCTGCTCCTCCGTCCTGGCCGGGCCCGGTCGCCACTTCCGGCCGCTCACCTGGGACGCGCTCACCTGCCTCCGGGCGCCTGGGCACCAGGATGAAGGACCGGCTGGAGCAGCTGAAGGCCGTGAGTCCCGCCGCACCCGGGAACCGGGCGGGCCGGGGGCTGCGGGGGTGGAGCTGCGCGGGAGAGGGTCTTCCCTCGCTCCCCCACATCGAGGCTGGGCGGGGGGAGTGCGGGGCAGGCGCAAGGCCTGTCCTCCCCAAGCCCCAGACGCACCCACCCCTCCTCTCTGGGGTCATGTGCCGGTGATTCATCGCTAGGCTGCAATTTCCCTGGATGCCTCTAGTCTCCGCCCCCCACCCCAAGCCGGACAGCATCAGTCTAGAGATGGGATCCGCGGGAGGTGGTGGGTGCTTGGGTCCAGCGGGGCTCTCTGTGAGGTCAAGGGTCACTCACCACCTGCCCAATGCTGCCTGGCACTGTGCCCAGGACCCGCCTCCTCCCATGCTCCTCCTCGTTCCTCTCCTGGGGGACGCTAAGACAACTGCCCTCGCCCCCGGAGAGCAGCTCTAGTGGGTGACCTCCCGAGCTGTGAGCTGGTCACGTGCCTGGATGGGGGCGGGGGGCAGCTCTTCACCACCCAGCTGTCTGTAATTATTAATTCCCCCCTCCCACGCCCACCCCCATCCTTGGGACCGCTGTGGTCAGAGCCAAGGATCTGAAGGTAGATCGTTTCCGGCTCTGCTGCACAAAAGATGTAAAACCTTAGGCTACGTACTCTTTTGAGCCTGTTTCCTTATCTGTCAAAGGGAGATTGATATGCCTTAGAGATTTGTTATGAGATCAAATGATATAATGGGGCTTAGTATAGAGAAGTGTTAAAGCA